GCTAATTTTGGTATCAAAATGGACGACTTTTGTGTCGGTTGCAGAAAAATAAAATATATATATCGATGTGTTGAAAAGGAATATTCTCAGATAAATTATGAACATACAAAATTGGATATATATTTATATAAAACAATACATTGAGAATTCGCATTCTCTAAGTGATGAGAATATTTACTCTTTTTCAGTTAATTCAATAGAAAACAACTACTTTCCTGGCTATATGCCACGACGAACATTGAATTATATCTATTGAACACACACGATAAGAGTTTGAAAATAAAATATAAAAATTTCTGAAATTGAGAATTTGCATTCTCCTTCAGACAAAAATATGTATATACACACATCATTCTGAATATTCAACAGAAAACAACTACTTTCCTGGCTATTTGCCACGTCGAACATTGAATTATATCTGATGAACATTCAAAAGTAGTTGTTTTCTATTGAATTAACTGAAAAAGAGTAAATATTCTCATCACTTAGAGAATGCGAATTCTCAATGTATTGTTTTATATAAATATATATATCCATTTTTGTATGTTCATAATTTATCTGAGAATATTCCTTTTCAACACTTTCATACCCAATCAGGGGGTTCAAACTTGAACGATGGAAACTTGTGATTTTTATAGACCTCTAATCGCAGATTCGTGATAGAGTCTCAATTCAGAATTCATTTCCACGCCCTGTATGTTGAATGTCAATTTATCATACACCCAAAAGCATATATATCGATGTTTCAAAATTTACCCGCAGGTTTGAAAACTTGAAACAGAAAAACGAAAGTCTACTTTGTATAGTGAATTTATCGACTCGTGAGCATACTAGATACATAAGAATTTGTTTTAGTGTTATCTAAATCAATCAGGTCCCATTTATCCAACTAAACTCAAATATTTCAAAGAGAATGCATTATACCTAGCGTTGTTATGATTATATTTCATCGAAAACTCAAAGAAATCTCTTGAATATTATTCCTAACAGTAAAAAGGACTAGTAAAATCTCATTTAGCAAACAAAACTCAAAAATGAACTCTTTGGTGTCGTTGGTGAGGTTCAGGGAGCTCTTGTGGAGTGGTGGATGAAGGGAACGTCTTATCGCGAACCGATTATGATTACAAACAGATAAGTTTTCGGAGAATTCTTCCAACTATGACTTTCGTAGTGAAAAAAAAATATATTGGCAACACTGTTCAAAGTTGAGCAGTGATATCGCGGCATTTTGCTAATGAAATGGTTACTAAACATGAGTTAGTTATATGCAATGAACTCAGTATCAATAGTCGATCATGTCTTTTGACTTGAAGCTTTTGATGCTATTTTTCTGTCATATCCCTGCTTATAGTTTCAATATGATAAACAATATCCTTAAAATAATATTTTTATGCCGGCGGGAGTAGAAGTAAGTTTCTCTGGTAACAAAAGAGGGGCAGAAGTCTCGTATTATTCCCTAGGGAGATAATGTTACATATTTTCGCCCTCGAGCTACAAATCGCAAATCTTGCATTGCTTTCGCTTGATATTCAATGTATTATAGCAGGACAAGATCGTCCATACTCTTCTCTCTTCATGTGGTAGAAATCTTTCTATTCAAACTAAATTCCTCAACACATGGGACGTTAAATCGCTTTTTTCTGCAACCGACACAAAAGTCGTCCATTTTGATACCAAAATTAGCTCTTAAATTGACGTTTCTATTACTGACACAAAAAAAGGTATGTTGCTAGGTAACATATTTAGTTCCTAGGAGCTGAAGCTGAATTTTAGTTCCTAGGAGCTAAAGTTGAACTTTAGCTCCTAAGAACTAAAAAGGATCTACTGGACGTTATCAAGAATAAACAACATTGTGACGGTTGGTTATTTGGGTTGAGACGCATACCTGATTTGTTTCCGATTTCAGCAGATTTGGCATTTCATACTCATGCTGGAGATATAAATACACCTTATAATAGTTTAGTATTGGAATTATAAACATCTCAGTAAAGTATTTTTGTTTTGATCAGGGAAGCCTTCAAGATTCGAATACTTACTTGATCTGTATATCATTCGTTATTCTCGGGATGGATGACTTTTTTTTTAATAATCACGGCAAGCAATAGTTTTTTTTGTCTCAAACAACGATATTGTTTAGCTTCATTTGATTATCAAGTCAAACACAGTGTAGTATGGAGAGGAATAAATAATCACTATTATCATTGTTGATATGCTCACTAACCTAACATTTTCCACGTCTTGTTCCTATAGCTGGCACTGGCGCGGTATTTGCCATCAGAGCACCTGGTCCATACACAAATATGTCACTCTGTGGTTGTATTCATATTGAAACTACAATTCGAACATCCTAGAAAACCTAACCTGCTGTTAATGCAGGTAGAATATTCTCACCACCTGGATTATTTGTCAATATTTGTTGGATTGCATACATATGGCACGGCATTGCTGGTTACTTCACATGTTTATTTGAGTTAATTGTTTCGGTTGCAGAAAAAATAGCATGTTTCATTCGGATCAAAAGTGACACTTTGTTTGACAAGCGAATTTTGCATTTGCGAGGCGGAGCGTTTAGCGAAGCCGAGCGAAAGCAGAATTTGCGAGTAATAAAACAATCTACTAGTTTTTCTATCAAATTGAATCATCATAACTTCAGATATCCTCAATCGATTTTCAATTATTCTTCAGTTTCTGAAAGCTCGTTTCATTGACTATCGAATCTATGGATATGACTATTTCATCTTTTCCGGATGAGATTCTACAGGATGATAATCAAAGCTGTGCATTTTTTCAAAAATTTGAAATGCCTCCCAATTGAAAGAAACATTTTTTCATTTCTATTTGGGATAAAAAACATATCGCTCCATATATGTTTTCTCGATACTGTGGAACAAAATTTTGAGATTGTCACACGCGTTACTGGATAATGAATGTTTTATTAAGATAATGCATAATTTGATGCTCTAATTCCTATTGGCTTTGTGTTCCTGTCAATCTGGTTTGAACGGTGGTCAAAATCTTGAAATCATGCATATTCAACCCATTTTTATATACAGGGTGGTGCTCAAACAACAATTATGCTTGTTTTAACGAGCAAGAAAATTTCGAAGCAGAAAACCGATTGAGAGGTTTTCTGGTGATCAAAGCATGAAGGAGAGGTTCACAAAGGACTAATATTGAATATTTGTCGGAATTCAAAAGAATGGCAGACGTGAGTCACATGGATATGTAATGAAGAGTATCCTGACTGATTTTTTTCATTACTCGATGTCATAATTGTTGTTTGAAGACCACCCTGTACATAAGAATAGGTTGATCATGCATCATTTCAAGATTGTTGACCACCGTTCGAACCAGACAGGAACACAAAAGCAATAGAAATTAGAGCATCAAATTATGCATTATCTCAATAAAACATTCATATTTCAGTAACGCGTACGACAATTCCTGGAATTTTTCGCACAGTTTCGAGAAAACATATAAAGCAATATGTTTTTGATCCCAAAAAAAGAATAGAAAAATTGTTCTTTCAATGCACAGCTTTGATTATCATCCTGTAGAATCTCATTCGGAAAAGATGAAATAGTCATATCCATAGGTTCGATAGTCAATGAAACGAGATTTCAGAAACTGAAACATAATTGAAAATCGATTCAGGAAATCGAAAGTTATGATGATTCAAATTTGATCAAAAAAATTGGGATTTTACGTTCCATGTGTTGAGCAGTTTATTTGCCTATTCATTCAATAAATAGATGTCACCTGCATCCACATCCTAGTCCCGAAATTTTTGCGTGTTTATCAGTCCGGTACCCACGAAAGTTTTTTTTGTTGAGCATTCGTGTTGGTGTGGAAGATATTGCGAGAAAGAGAGTTCGAATGTCCTGTCAATCTTCGCGTGATCCTTTTGGTTTTGAAATAATATCATCCTAAGATTATGGTGCCAAGTCCTTTTCAGGTATGTAAATTTTATATTTCGATTTGTAGTGAATGTTGTCATTGGAAACGATCCCCAAGTTCTTGGTCAGGAATACTTTCATTCAAGTCTTGTATGTCCCTTTTAGACGAAAATATAATTCAAAATATCAGAAGTAATCACTGATGGTTCCTTCCTCAGTTTCGATACCCTACACCTGAGATTTTATTACGTAATCGGCATATCAGCTGCCGGTTTTGCAACAGTACTATATTACACGCCACTCATTTTTGATCGATTAGTATATAACCATACTGAACTACTATTAACGATACGATGTTTCGAAATGAAATCAGCTGTAGATTTCAAGGGGTAATTTGAAAATATGGAAGTTTACAGTTTTGTTCCAATTCACCCCGCAGTTCCAAGTTTCCCCATTCTACAGTACATACGTTTTTGATATCGTGAAATTTTTTTCTATAGTGATGTCGGTGGCAAGGGATCACCGGGAAGCATCGGAAAAAATGAGCAAGTGTGAGAGCATCCTCAAGTACACAAGATACACCTTGCTAATTGCTGGAGCATTCGATATACGGAAGGGAACAACCTCCTCCTTTCTATACAAGATTTGGTCTGTTATTTCGATAGGCTACTACTCCATGTTTGCCCTTCATCTCCTTGTGGGCATGAAAGATGTACTTAGGGGTCCCGTAGATGATTTATCATTTACAGTCAACATCCAAGCTTGCCTCTTAGCCAACTTCTTACTTCTGAAATTGCTGTTGTCATTCACCAAAGCAATTCGGGAAATAATGGAAGAAGTGTTTCAATTTGAGCATGACATCATTCACGATGACTTGGAGTGTTTGCGGCTATACAACAAATATTCCTTCTACAACTACAAGGTATTTTTCATATCGTCTTCTGTGAGTGTCGCTACTGGCCTATTGTTCATGTGGAACACTTGGAACGATTGGAAAAGGATGAATGCTGAAAATTCAACGGAACCCAGGAAGCTCATCTACCGTGGTTGGGTCCCTCTCAATATGGAAAATACAATTTTGTTCAACATTGCGTACTATTTCCAATTCCTCGCAGGCGTTTGGGTTCCCTGGTATATCTTGACGTTGGATTCCATGTTTATTTCGATGGTAAACTTTGCTACTGCAAGAGCTGGCATCTTGGGATACAAATTTGAACATTTCGAGAAATATAGTGATGGTAAGAGTGAATCGATATTCTATTGCTTGCGAAATATTGTTCTGGAACACCAGGATCTGATCAGGTGAGTAGATATCATAGATTTGTACCTGCAGTGTGTCCCCTTGTTTTGTTTTTTCTCTCGTTCAACATGTAGTAGGTACTCAGTGGGATCTACCTCCTGAATTCTCAATTATCTCATTATAATATTAGACGACCACTAAAATATACTCTGATGTACTGATGAATCTATGAAGTTCATTTGAATTTTCATCGAGTTGTGGAATCACACATTTTTCTATATCTAGAACTGCCGGTGGAGCCATGAGTTACTACTCTCGATAGTGAATCTAAGAGATTGACTACAAGATCAACTATATTCACCTCTGAAGCCTAATTGATTGAACATGCTCTGATGCACTCATATCATATCATATCAGTAATGTTGCCGGGGTAGCAACGTCTGACAAGACTCCCATAGCGGATGACTGTCGGCCACCTGTCTCTCGACTTATACCGACAGCACACCCCCAGGGAGAAATGGAGAATGTGGATACGCCAAATCAGCGCGATAGAGTCATCTCCGTTATGTAACGGCATGTTTTTCGGCTACCATTTCATTATACAAATGGTGAGGTCGTCTGATAAAACAGACTACTGGTTCTGCATTGTCAGTACCCGAGCAGAAAACGCTGCTCACCCGCCGAGGCAGGCAAGATATCCTCCTACTTGACCCATGGTGGGATTCTCCTTCCCCTCCTCTACCGTAGTCTGGTGGTGATTTTTTTGAAAACCGCTGCCCCCTGGAGTCTAACCCAATTGGTGAGGCATCAGGCCGTATGTACGACCTGCTATCCTCATCACCCCAGGTACCCATGTCAACAAGATTCCTTTTGTTACGTTTGATGGGTCGCCGTCGCAAGAGGCTTTTGCCTGATTGCTACTCATGTTGACAAGAATCCTCTCGTCTCGTGATCGTTTGAGGACTTTTGAACGTTCCTCGTTTACAGGAGAAGACCTGGCTTTGCATACGATGACTAGCGGTAGGTTCGCTTGGGGCTGCCCCTTCCCTGTCGAACGAAGGCACATGGTACAGGGTATCCCACATAACTTGGACCACCCCCTTATCTGGTAAACTATTATATATACAGAAAAAAATTCAGGATACAAATTGTATAACTTCTTATGACATTTGATTTTTAGATACTGTCATTTATACAGGATGATCCATATGTCTGTGACATATCACAAATACGTTTTTTCAAATGGAACACCCTATATTTCATCATATTTTTAGATAGTCCTTCAGAAGACGAGTTCAATGATATATAATAACATGGGTCTGAGATCACCCGTTTCGGATTTATACACGATCTTCTTCAATTGTCTAATTTCAAAGCCCTATAGAAACGTTGTGAATGAGGTTTTCAATTCGCAACATTTGCTATAAATTGAAAAAATCTGTATATTATTTTGTTCTATGGTGAAAATTTAGGAATTTTGAATTTGCCAAAAGTGATGACGTATTTTGAAAACCAATAATTATCTCGAGATTTTCAAATGGAACACCCTATATTTTATTCCATATTTGCATAGAACTCAGGAAGACGAGTTCAATGATCTATAATAACATGGGTCTGAGATCACCCGTTTCGGACTTATACACGATCTTCGGTCAAAACTACATTTCCTCTAGTTCTCTTATACGGTTTGAGAATACCTTTTGTTCGGATATCGTTCTGTATTCTCTGAAATATTCTTTTGTTTGGTACGACACTTTGTGGAAAACGATCACGATATTCTCTCAAAGTATTTCTGTTTTTTAATAAATAGCGCTCATAAAGATCAAATCTCTCTTATTTAGAATAAATATGCATCTTGAAAGAGTTTCTCTGCACCAATTCAACAATAAATAATCGGGTTTGACAGTTATTGATATGACATAAACAAAAATCCCATCTATGAGTGCACAGCCTACTCAGCTCTCGTTGGCATGTCATTCCACTTTGAGTTTTGGTTTTCTCTTCGATCATTTACTTATGTCCAGTGTTTATGCATTGAGAATTCAATGAAAAATGTTGAACAGTATGAAAGGTATACGATTTTTATGAGGAAATGACATTTATTGCAATGAATGCATCCGAATTGATAAGGCAGACAATCAAAAAAAAATGTTTAAATACATTTTATTGATTGAATATTCCCGCATTGGTCTCGTATAGAGTCAAATGTAGGTGAAATTTAATTGTGATAACCTGTGTTCAATCATTTCCGAAATGTTTTCCAGTGAAATAATAGTATAACATTACATAAAGATTTTGATAATATTCGTTTATTTCAAAACTCTTTATTACGAATTGTTTTACAGAAATTACAAAAATTTCATTTAATTTGAAGATAATAGTCTGAATTTTGCCATTGAAATTTGATTATTTTTTCAAGAAGATCGTGTATAAGTCCGAAACGGGTGATCTCAGACCCATATTATAATATATCATTGAACTCGTCATTCTGAGCTTCATCCAAAAATGGAATGAAATAGGGTGGTGTTCCATTCGAAAATTTGTAAAAAATAATCGTTTTTCAAAATACATCATCACTTTTGGCCAATGCGAAATTCATAAAATTTTACCATGGATCAAGAAAACATACAAAAATTCGTTTATTTATAGCGGGAACTGCGAATCGAAAACTTCATTCACAACGTTTCTATAGGGCTTTGAAATTGGGCAATTTATTGAAGAAGATCGTGTATAAGTCCGAAACGGGTGATATCAGACACATGTTATGATATATCATTGAACTCGTCTTCCTGAGCTCTATGCAAATTTGGAATGGAATATAGGGTGTTTCATTTGAGAATCTCGAGATATTTATTGGTTTTCCAAATACGTCATCACTTTTGGCAAATTGAAAATTCCTAAATTTTCACCATAGAACAGAATAATATACAGACTTTGTTAATTTATAGCGGAAACTGCGAATCGAAAACTTCATTCGCAACGTTTCTATAGGGCCTCGAAATTTGGCAATTTATTGAAGAAGATCGTGTATAAATCCGAAACGGGTGATCTCAGACCCATGTTATTATAGATCATTGAACTCGTCTTCCTGAGTTCTATGCAAATATGGAATAAAATATAGGGTCTTCCATTTGAAAATCTCGAGATAATTATTGGTTTTCAAAATACGTCATCACTTTTGGCAAATTCAAAATTCCTAAATTTTCACCATAGAACAAAATAATATACAGACTTTTTCGATTTATAGCAAAAGTTGCGAATTGAAAACTTCATTCTCAACGTTTTTATAGGGCTTCGAAATTTGGCAATTTATTGAAGAAGATCGTGTATAAATCCGAAACGGGTGATCTCAGACCCATGTTATTAAGAATCATTGAACTCGTCTTCTTAAGTACTATCTAAAAATATGATGAAATATAGGGTATCCTATTTGAAAAAACGTATGTGTGATAAGTCACAGACATATGGACCATCCTGTATGAATGAAAGTATCTAAAAAATAAATTTCATGAGAAGTAATACAACTTTTATTCTGAACTTTTTTCTGTATATATAATAGTTTACCAGTTAAGGGGTGGCCCATGTTATGTGGGATACCCTGTACACTGAAGCTCCAGTTTTCGCTGAGCAAGCACAGTTACCCATGGCGACCAGAATCCTCCAGTCCCGTTCGATGGGTGACCGATCTCCTTATATTCTATGTCTTCTCAGCATAGGCTGAAGATGGACATTGCATATGTCCAAAACATGTTCCTTATCTGATGTTTCGAAATTGAAAAGTCGTGGAGAAGACTGTGTGCTTCTCTCATTGGATATAAACCCTATCACTCCACTTTGAGCTACAATGGACTTCTATACCATCGTTATAAATTCATTCTATTTGGCGAGTGAATCGTATAATATCTAGGTCAAGACTCGCTGAACGGTGTTCTTACAAATCGAGAATAACAAAGTATGAATCAGAAACTCCCACGAGAAATATCAAAGTGCTGGTAGAGCGTTTCCTATTACATGGCACACCGTGAGAATCGGTCATGTAACTAACGCCATTTTTTCCTTCTGTTGGATTCATACACATAATCAAAATTTTCAAATCACCAACTAAAAAGGGCAGCATTGTTCTATTCTTTGATTTTTTTTCATCGTTTGGAAAATACGAAAGGAAATCCCTATAATCTTTGAAGTACATCGTGCGTGCCTTGGGAGGATAGGAAGAGGAGGTATGTATTGGAATTTCATTTGAACTCTTAAAGTTCTTGAGAATTCCTCCATTATAGCAAAAAATTCCACAGCTCTGACGTTCTACGCACAAAGAAATTTTGGAAAAAGGTTGTTCAACACATTTCAAGGTTGCCAACGAGAGTATGTGCTGACCGGGCGTGTCGCGTTCGTCTGACTGGTATTGCTAATATTGATGGCAGAGATTTCTGAGGAACATTTCCCGTGAAAGTATCTATAGAAAGTGAAAGATCGCCGACTTTCTTACGGTGTTATGATGAGATGAGGTCAGAGAATTAGTGAGTGTGGCATCACCCACCAGGCGAATGGCTCTTCTCTGGATCTTCAGAGGATCAGCGGATGTTTGAGTGCTGGACCCAATATATGTGGAAACAGTATTCTGGAACAGGCCGAATTTGCTCTTTGTAGATCATGAGGAGCTGTTGAGATGTGAAGTAGTTTTTTGCACGGAATAAATATCCGAGTTTTTGTGGGGCAGCTTTCGCGATAGATCTAAGATGATTTTCCCATGAAAGGAAACGTATCACTGATGCAGATACCGAGCATAGATATAGTGGACTTGGTGGGAAAGATGGTACCACATATTGATATATCAGACGAACTGAGTTCCGCCTTTCTAGAGAAAATTCAGGCTTGACCTTCAAGATCTTCATTGACAGACTTAGCACACCTTCGGCGTGAGTCCGTAGTTGGTTTGTTGTTATGTTTGGTAGGAATAATGTATTGTCTGTGACCTGTTGTTTGTGAGGGGACCTCGAATAGCAATATCTTCATCAGAAATACAGATATATCTTCAGTGAGAAGAAAATCAGCTACTTCCAAT